CCCTCCCCCTCCCCCTCCCCCCCTGGCCGTGGTGCTCGGACCGCTTGTTTACAGCCTCCAAGTCCAATCTAAGAAATTGTGTTGATCACAAACCTCCCCCACGCCCTATTTGGAGGAATTTTTCTTCTTCTTCTTCTTTACTTGAAGATTTCGGCGAGGCACTCGGTGTGGGCGTCACACCGGTCAGTTGGAGACACCCGCCCGCATCGCATCCAAAACAAGGATGGCGGGGAAAAGGGCGTCTGCTTCCTTGTCAGTCCGACTCGACTACTGCTTCTGCATCTCACGCTAACTACTAACTAGTAAACAAAGTCACTACTGCAATCCAGCGTTTTAGTTGGAAGTCAAGGATGAAAAACTGAAAGCAAAGGACGAATATTTATTAGAGGAATACGGTCTTACATATTGGGATTTGTTTGTATCATGTGCTGATGTTAAATTGGCAGCTTGCTTTTTGTTTTGTCAACATCTTCTCCTCAAACCAGGATCACAATTGTCATCTCAACAGGGGCTCCTGCGCGAGCGTAACTGGAAGTATGCGGAGAAGTCACTTTAAGTTGGGTTCCTTCCCCTTCTTGCACTTTGCTTCCACCACAGTGAGCAGATAATGCAGTACAATCCAAAAATAAGACCCTCCGAAATGATCAAAATGCGACATTTTTTTGTAACATTGGCAAGCCGCTAAACTTCCAAGTATGTCGAATGTTGGCCGCCAACGTTCTCCCACTGAAATTCCAACGAGCTGGAATGTTGGTGGACCTTCATGATCCTGCTAAAATCCAAGTAGCCCTCAATTGTTTCTCGTTGTGAAACAGCAGCAGCCAGTAGAACCTTTTATTTGCTTTGTCTTGTTTTTTTTTTTTTCTCTTTCTTTCTTTCTTTGCTCAAGAGAAAGCAAAGCACAAAATGGCGGTCAAAGCTGGGTGTCAGTTTAAAAGTGAAATTTAAAAAAAAGGGATTTGTTAATCTCTGCAACTATGTACAGCATGTTTCATATATAAATATATATTTAAATATATAAACCTATTTTATTATGATTGGAAATTCTGGGTTATATAAGACACTAAGTCCGTTTAAGATGATCAAGGGGGGGTGGGAAGCCTCACATTTGAAATGTGCAATTTTGGAAGATTTGGTTCTGTTTTTACTTTATTTCCCCCCCCCACCCATCTCACCATCTGCTTTTTGTTTGGGTTGTTTTTTTTTTTTCCAAAGGGGAGTTCTTTATTTAAGTCAATGTTAAATGTTCTGTACAGTTTTTTAACGTGATTTTTTTTTCCTTCTATTTAAATTAAAGGTTTTGTGTCTGTTGGCACATTGAGTGCTCTGTCTTTTTTTTTCTTCCCCTGAGTCAACCAACTTCCATAACTTTGGACTATAGCTGGAATGCTGCGGGTCACGAGGTCATTCATCGCCTGCCCTGTTTTCATCTTAAAATATAGCTGGCACACAATCTCCCACTCTTATCCCTCTAAAATCTGGAATAGCTTAAGTGTTGGTGCCCATATTCCCCCCCTTTAAAATCCCAGCTGACACGTTGAAATCACCTGGCTAAAATCTCAACTATGCCAAATATGTACTGTAATATCCCGCTGAAAAAGTATACCTGCAATTTTGAGTGGCCTGTGTTGTCCCTTTATTCCATGATCACGTCTTATACAAAGGAGCGCTTCATCAGGGACGGAGTGTAGCGGATCTCATTGTAGCCTTCCTCCTCCTCCTCCTCTTCCTCCTTGGAGACCCTTCGTCGACCGTCCTGGCCGGTACGATGAAGCCACGCCAAGAGCACCAGCAGGGCCAGCAGCATGAGGCTCATGGACAAAGTCAGCAACACCCCCTGCAGGATCCCCGAGTGACTCTGTGCCACTGCTGACAAGACAGCAATGATCCGAAAGCATCAGTGCGGTATGAAAGGAAAGAGAGGATTAACGGGAGAGACAAGCGTGGCGGTCACCGTTGTAGACGGACAGGTTGACGTAACAGTTCTCCGTTCCCAGGATGTTGGAGGCGGAGCAACGATAAAGGCCTGACGTCTGCAACGACACGTTGACGATCTGGACCGAACCCGACAGCTCCCCTAACAAATAATTAGAAAATCCGGAAAGGTAACCTCTTCTGTATTCAAATGGACAGGCCACCGAGAAATCAAGTGGGCTACATTCGACCCGTCTTTGGAAATCAGATAGCATTCAAAATGAATAGGGTTCTTGCTCTTGCATAGAAAGTGCCACAATCAGTGTTACAGTGTGCCCTACAAGAGTAAGTTCAAATTCTGACCCTCCATGTTGATGGGTAGGGAAATTTCCTCTGGGTTGAGTTTATCCCAGCGGATCTCTGGAGTGGGAACGCCCTCGGCAACCGAGCAGGACAACGTGACACTGCCCCCTGTTTCCATGTCGCCATCCCACTGGCATGCGGGCAGCGAAGGTGCTACTGTGGGTGTAATCAGCAGAATGACGTGTGAACATTGATTGTTATAAACTTGCTTAACCCTAAATCGTTCCTCTTAATGCAGTGGTTCTTAACCTTGTTAGAGTTACCGAACCCAACCTTCACCAAGCCGTTCTTTAGTGAAAAATAAAAATAGGATTTTTTTTCTTCTTTTTTTTTTTTTTTACAAATTTGAGACATAAAAAACAAAGTTATTAAAAACAGAAAAAAAATAAATAAAACTTCAAGATACGTTTTTCTCCTTGTGCAAAAAATGAACCAGCCAGTGATGGCCAAGTATGCGTGTCATAAATGACATGTTGAGTCGGGTGTGCTTTACCCTCCATGGCAGAGGCTCCGTCAAGCCCCTGACACCAATTCGCTGAACCCCTGGGGTTCGATTGAACCCAGGTTAAGAACCACTGCAAAAGATTGTTTTTTTTTTTTTATTCAGCAACAAACGCCTTTGTATACGAGGTCGTTTTTTCGGCAAAACAAAACGCCCTATGATACATGGACATTTTTTTTCAGCTAAAAACGCCTTACAATACATAGTCGTTTCTTTCGGCGAAAAACGCCTGACTACACATGCAGAATTTTTGTCGTCTAAAAACGCCTGATTGTATATGGTCGTTTTTTTCGACCATGTATAGTAAGGCATTTTTAGCCGAAAAAAACGACCATGAATAGTCAGGCGTTTTTGGCCGAAAAAACGACCATGTATCGTAAGGCGTTTTTTGCCGAAAAAACGACCATGTATCGTAAGGCGTTTTTTGCCGAAAAAACGACCATGTATCGTAAGGCGTTTTTTGCCGAAAAAACGACCATGTATCGTAAGGCGTTTTTTGCCGAAAAAACGACCATGTATCGTAAGGCGTTTTTTGCCGAAAAAACGACCATGTATCGTAAGGCGTTTTTTGCCGAAAAAACGACCATGTATCGTAAGGCGTTTTTTGCCGAAAAAACGACCATGTATCGTAAGGCGTTTTTTGCCGAAAAAACGACCATGTATCGTAAGGCGTTTTTTGCCGAAAAAACGACCATGTATCGTAAGGCGTTTTTTGCCGAAAAAACGACCATGTATCGTAAGGCGTTTTTTGCCGAAAAAACGACCATGTATCGTAAGGCGTTTTTTGCCGAAAAAACGACCATGTATCGTAAGGCGTTTTTTGCCGAAAAAACGACCATGTATCGTAAGGCGTTTTTTGCCGAAAAAACGACCATGTATCGTAAGGCGTTTTTTGCCGAAAAAACGACCATGTATCGTAAGGCGTTTTTTGCCGAAAAAACGACCATGTATCGTAAGGCGTTTTTTGCCGAAAAAACGACCATGTATCGTAAGGCGTTTTTTGCCGAAAAAACGACCATGTATCGTAAGGCGTTTTTTGCCGAAAAAACGACCATGTATCGTAAGGCGTTTTTTGCCGAAAAAACGACCATGTATCGTAAGGCGTTTTTTGCCGAAAAAACGACCATGTATCGTAAGGCGTTTTTTGCCGAAAAAAAAGACCATGTATAGTAAGGCTTTTTTGCCGACAAAAAAACAACATGAATAGTAAGGCATTTTTTGACGAAAAAAACGACCATGTATCGGAAGGCGTTTTTTGACGAAAAAAACCACCATGTATAGTAAGGCGTTTTTTAACGAAAAAAACGACCATGTATAGTAAGGCGTTTTTAGCCGAAAAAAACGACCATGTATAGCAAGGCTTTTTTGCCGACAAAAAACGACCATGAATAGTAAGGTATTTTTTGACGAAAAAAACGACCATGTATCGGAAGGCGTTTTTTGACGAAAAAAACCACCATGTATAGTAAGGCGTTTTTTAACGAAAAAAACGACCATGTATAGTAAGGCGTTTTTAGCCGAAAAAAACGACCATGTATAGCAAGGCTTTTTTGCCGACAAAAAACGACCATGAATAGTAAGGTATTTTTTGACGAAAAAAACGACCATGTATCGGAAGGCGTTTTTTGACGAAAAAAACCACCATGTATAGTAAGGCGTTTTTTAACGAAAAAAACGACCATGTATAGTAAGGCGTTTTTAGCCGAAAAAAACGACCATGTATAGCAAGGCTTTTTTGCCGACAAAAAACGACCATGAATAGTAAGGTATTTTTTGACGAAAAAAACGACCATGTATCGGAAGGCGTTTTTTGACGAAAAAAACCACCATGTATAGTAAGGCGTTTTTTAACGAAAAAAACGACCATGTATAGTAAGGCGTTTTTAGCCGAAAAAAACGACCATGTATAGCAAGGCTTTTTTGCCGACAAAAAACGACCATGAATAGTAAGGTATTTTTTGACGAAAAAAACGACCATGTATCGGAAGGCGTTTTTTGACGAAAAAAACCACCATGTATAGTAAGGCGTTTTTTAACGAAAAAAACGACCATGTATAGTAAGGCGTTTTTAGCCGAAAAAAACGACCATGTATAGCAAGGCTTTTTTGCCGACAAAAAACGACCATGAATAGTAAGGTATTTTTTGACGAAAAAAACGACCATGTATCGGAAGGCGTTTTTTGACGAAAAAAACCACCATGTATAGTAAGGCGTTTTTTAACGAAAAAAACGACCATGTATAGTAAGGCGTTTTTAGCCGAAAAAAACGACCATGTATAGCAAGGCTTTTTTGCCGACAAAAAACGACCATGAATAGTAAGGTATTTTTTGACGAAAAAAACGACCATGTATCGGAAGGCGTTTTTTGACGAAAAAAACCACCATGTATAGTAAGGCGTTTTTTAACGAAAAAAACGACCATGTATAGTAAGGCGTTTTTAGCCGAAAAAAACGACCATGTATAGCAAGGCTTTTTTGCCGACAAAAAACGACCATGAATAGTAAGGTATTTTTTGACGAAAAAAACGACCATGTATCGGAAGGCGTTTTTTGACGAAAAAAACCACCATGTATAGTAAGGCGTTTTTTAACGAAAAAAACGACCATGTATAGTAAGGCGTTTTTAGCCGAAAAAAACGACCATGTATAGCAAGGCTTTTTTGCCGACAAAAAACGACCATGAATAGTAAGGTATTTTTTGACGAAAAAAACGACCATGTATCGGAAGGCGTTTTTTGACGAAAAAAACCACCATGTATAGTAAGGCGTTTTTTAACGAAAAAAACGACCATGTATAGTAAGGCGTTTTTAGCCGAAAAAAACGACCATGTATAGCAAGGCTTTTTTGCCGACAAAAAACGACCATGAATAGTAAGGTATTTTTTGACGAAAAAAACGACCATGTATCGGAAGGCGTTTTTTGACGAAAAAAACCACCATGTATAGTAAGGCGTTTTTTAACGAAAAAAACGACCATGTATAGTAAGGCGTTTTTAGCCGAAAAAAACGACCATGTATAGCAAGGCTTTTTTGCCGACAAAAAACGACCATGAATAGTAAGGTATTTTTTGACGAAAAAAACGACCATGTATCGGAAGGCGTTTTTTGACGAAAAAAACCACCATGTATAGTAAGGCGTTTTTTAACGAAAAAAACGACCATGTATAGTAAGGCGTTTTTAGCCGAAAAAAACGACCATGTATAGCAAGGCTTTTTTGCCGACAAAAAACGACCATGAATAGTAAGGTATTTTTTGACGAAAAAAACGACCATGTATCGGAAGGCGTTTTTTGACGAAAAAAACCACCATGTATAGTAAGGCGTTTTTTAACGAAAAAAACGACCATGTATAGTAAGGCGTTTTTAGCCGAAAAAAACGACCATGTATAGCAAGGCTTTTTTGCCGACAAAAAACGACCATGAATAGTAAGGTATTTTTTGACGAAAAAAACGACCATGTATCGGAAGGCGTTTTTTGACGAAAAAAACCACCATGTATAGTAAGGCGTTTTTTAACGAAAAAAACGACCATGTATAGTAAGGCGTTTTTAGCCGAAAAAAACGACCATGTATAGCAAGGCTTTTTTGCCGACAAAAAACGACCATGAATAGTAAGGTATTTTTTGACGAAAAAAACGACCATGTATCGGAAGGCGTTTTTTGACGAAAAAAACCACCATGTATAGTAAGGCGTTTTTTAACGAAAAAAACGACCATGTATAGTAAGGCGTTTTTAGCCGAAAAAAACGACCATGTATAGCAAGGCTTTTTTGCCGACAAAAAACGACCATGAATAGTAAGGTATTTTTTGACGAAAAAAACGACCATGTATCGGAAGGCGTTTTTTGACGAAAAAAACCACCATGTATAGTAAGGCGTTTTTTAACGAAAAAAACGACCATGTATAGTAAGGCGTTTTTAGCCGAAAAAAACGACCATGTATAGCAAGGCTTTTTTGCCGACAAAAAACGACCATGAATAGTAAGGTATTTTTTGACGAAAAAAACGACCATGTATCGGAAGGCGTTTTTTGACGAAAAAAACCACCATGTATAGTAAGGCGTTTTTTAACGAAAAAAACGACCATGTATAGTAAGGCGTTTTTAGCCGAAAAAAACGACCATGTATAGCAAGGCTTTTTTGCCGACAAAAAACGACCATGAATAGTAAGGTATTTTTTGACGAAAAAAACGACCATGTATCGGAAGGCGTTTTTTGACGAAAAAAACCACCATGTATAGTAAGGCGTTTTTTAACGAAAAAAACGACCATGTATAGTAAGGCGTTTTTAGCCGAAAAAAACGACCATGTATAGCAAGGCTTTTTTGCCGACAAAAAACGACCATGAATAGTAAGGTATTTTTTGACGAAAAAAACGACCATGTATCGGAAGGCGTTTTTTGACGAAAAAAACCACCATGTATAGTAAGGCGTTTTTTAACGAAAAAAACGACCATGTATAGTAAGGCGTTTTTAGCCGAAAAAAACGACCATGTATAGCAAGGCTTTTTTGCCGACAAAAAACGACCATGAATAGTAAGGTATTTTTTGACGAAAAAAACGACCATGTATCGGAAGGCGTTTTTTGACGAAAAAAACCACCATGTATAGTAAGGCGTTTTTTAACGAAAAAAACGACCATGTATAGTAAGGC